TACCTGGAGACTATTTCATAGGCTGGGTCATCATAGACCGTTTCCCAGTACTCGTTCCACATAGAGTGTTCATTAGCTGGTATAAGGCCGGCATCATCTGTCAGGTTAGAGGACAGCTTTGCACCCACAGTGCAGAGAATGTGACCTTCAGGGCCGGAAGATCTTACTCGTTCGATGTCTTCGCTGTCGATATCGCGGGATGTCTGATATCGCTGAGTCGCTATCTCTTTGAAAAGCTTGAGCTGTCTTTTTCTGAAAGGCTGAAGCTTCTTGGTGGCCGCTTGATCCACATGCTTAACGTATTCCTTGATGTAGTATAATGCGCATGCTTCATGTAATGCGTTAAATCCACTGGACTGCTTTTTCGATTCCTTAAAGGAGGGAGCGATGCTCGATAACGCAGACCCGGTCAGCAGATCCACATCCAAATCCCATTTCAACTCATATGCCATATGGCTCTTCATTCTCCTTGGGTCTGGAGATTGACTTGGTCCAAGGCGCCTGCACCGTAGACCCGTGATAGAAATTGACGGTTGCCGAGATTCATCCAGAACTGAAATCGAAGCTATGAGATCCCCCTTTCGTGTTCGTTGTGTTTCGGTGAATACATTTAGTTTGCTCCCTGCCGCGTACCCTGTGTGGCACGATACGCACATCTCATCGATGCGGACAGGAACAGCGGGGTCGTTGATTGCATCCATGTTGACAAATATCGTGTGAATGATACTATCCAACGTGCAAGGATGTATCAGAGATGGGTACTGGAAATTCATGGGCATCACCGCAGCAGTATCCGGGGTGATGATCTCTGACACACACGCTGAATCCTTGAAACGTGCTTGTTTGATGTTAGCAAAACACGGTCCGTACTCAAGGCCGACACTGGCTAAGTTCTTGTAGAATAATTCGATGTCAAGGGAAGTAAAGTTGTCAGTTGCTCGCTCAACCTCAAGCCCAAGTTCAGCGCGATCGCTATTCTGTGCTCCAATCAAACCACTGCAATGCTCTGTCCAGATGTTGTCCTGCGTGACAGAGTAAATGTGGAAATTGTGAGCTGGATAGGAGCCACGGGAGTTGCTCTCGCGTTGGTTGAGTATGAGTAAAGTCTCTACAGCCCCTGTCTCATGGAGAACTAGAGCCGATTGTATGGATATATCACGAATATAGATTGTGGGTATCTCATCTGCAGAGGTACTGTGTAATTCATGCTGAAGGAATGCCTCTATCGCCATGGCAATATATCCAGCAGCAGGATATACTATATTAGACTCGATCCTATGATCCAATAACCAAGGATTTTCAGACACGCGAAGAAAGTTTCTCCACACAGGCTGAAAAGAGCAAGCCGTCCTATCAATAGCGCCCAACAGATCTGTCCGGGCATGCTTCCGATTGCGAAAGCTTTTGCTAATTCGAGGCTCTGCCCAGTATGTTTGTATATGACTCCACGCATATGGAGGGAGGTCAACGAGCACACTCGGCTCATGGGAGGCCGTGGGATTGTTAATCACCTGGGAATCCACAGGATAGCCGGTACACATTAGTGTGGCGGCAGCAGTTAGAGCAGTTGTAACAGCGTTGCTATTTCTGGTCAGAACGCTAATGTATAAGATCTCAGCTGCATTGAGCTTCGTGTCATCTCTCAAGGTCTGCTTGATCGGTCCTGCCAGCGTAGCGTGAGGACCAACCTCAACAAGGACATCGACGCTGACCTTTTGGGCTATACCGACTCGCTTTATTCGTTTCCTTTCTAGCGTCCTGATGGGAGCCCGCTGGTTAATGGTCTCGAAGCACAGGGTGCGTAATGAATCGACAAAATTCACCTGGCCCACTAGGTTACTAGCCCAATATCGTGAGCCCAATTCGGATGGTGTGATCTCGGCTCCTGTCACTGAGGAGAAGAAGGATACAGATCGATTACCAAGATAGTTTTCAATATCCTCACGGCTCCTCGGGCTCACATGTGCTATATAGTCCAAGTATTGCTCCTTAACTAATTCCATGTGGTGAGAGTGGTATGCAACTTCCACTGATAGTCGGCGGCTAAACACTTGTTTTTCGCGAACGATCTGCTCTAATTCATCGATAGCAGGAAGATCCCCGGCAATTGTGACGCTCAATGGGCTGCTGATGCATGCTACAACAGCCTTTCCCGACTGAAGCATATCGAGATATGACTGACTCTCTCGGGCAGACACCCCAAGGGCAAGCATGGCCCCCCTTATCTGCCCGTTCGCCAGAGGCCAGTTACTAACGACCACTCCTCGGTAGTAAGCCACTGCCATGGCATCCTCCATGGTCAGCGCACCAGCGGCATAGGCAGCGGCAATTTCCCCGCTAGAGTGTCCGGTCACTGAGTCTGGGTAGATTCCCCAAGACGCTAGTAGATCGACCAGGGCTATTTGAAGGGCAGAGCATATGGGCTGGCTGAAGAGGGGGTTGCTTAATCGCGAGGCTCCCTGATCCTTAAGTATCTCTTCTATTAATCTTCATCAGTGGATGCTGGTCATGACGTGAGGTGAATCCTGGCAAGGGGTAATACCAGATTAACGTACCCACCATACAGTAAGGAGCACCGATGGATTTTATGTAGTCGTCAATTCGTTGAATTGATTCGCGGAATACCGGATATGCCTCTAGTAGCTCCTTTCCCATTCCCACCCACTGCGCACCCTGTCCTGTGAAGACGAAACCGATACTTGGTCGTCGACGAGCTTTAACAATTTTCATCCTACCGGATAATGCTTCTGCTAGCGTTGCAGGGGACGTTCCCACAATGGCAGTTCTGCTGGCATGGATCGTGCGGCGTTCGTTCAACGTATACGCTAGATTATTCATGTATCTCTCATCTGCTTCTGGTTTTACCTTGAGTAGGTATTCTCGAAAGTTTTGAAGCTGCCTGGCGGTGGATCTCTCATCAAACCCAGAAAACAAGTAGACTCGAGATCGTGTAGGGCAAGTTTGGTCGGCATCGACAGAATGCTCGCCGTATCGCACTCTACTTCTCAGACCACGACGGTAAAGATAGCCTGGTGCATCTTCGAGTATGGCATGCGCGTTACTCCCCCCATATCCGAAGCTGTTCACAGAAACACGATGCGGACTCGGGCATTCCCACGACTCCGCAGCTAACTGTATCTGTGGCAGGCTTAATGACTAGCTCAAGTGGGGGTTGTCGAGGATTTTACCTTGAGTCTCCAATCTTCACATCGGATACGAGGATTTACCACTCGAAAGTTGCGATTGGGGAGAAAGGTCCGATTCTCGAGCATCAGGACGGCTTTAACAACGCCCGCAACTCCGCTCGTGCCCTCCAGATGGCCAACATTAGTTTTGATAGACCCGACTCGTAGCGGTCGCATAGGACTTCGGTTGTGACACAATACCTTTGCGAGTGCGGCCGTTTCAATATGGTCGCCAGCCTGTGTTCCGGTACCGTGCGCTTCGACGAAGTCCGTCTCGCATGGATCAAGGCCTGCCACCTGGTAGACATGACGCATCAGGGCTTCTTGCGATGCGCCACTCGGTAGGGTAATCCCGGGGGTCCTGCCATCTTGATTCAGTCCAGAGCCTCGAATTATGGCGCGAATGGGGTCATGGTCTTGAATAGCGTCTCTTAGCGGTTTAAGGATCAAACATCCAATACCCTCGCCTCGAGCGTACCCGCTGGCGCTTTCGTCGAATGTATGGCATCGTCCGTCGGGGGAAAGAAACCTGGATATTGGTTAGATATACTTAGATAGAATGAGCCTTTCCTACCAACTTCATCATAGTCATCGTCGACATGAACTCATGGCTGAGGATCACATTGACTCCCGCTGCGACGGCCATCGAGGCATCACCAGTCCGAAGGCTTTGACATGCCAGATGGAGAGCTGTTAAACTACCCGAACAGGCGGTATCAACTGTCACACTAGGGCCTTTCATGTCGAAGAAGTATGACACTCGGTTTGCTGTCATGGCCCGGGACTGCCCGGAGTTTGTGCACTGATACATCGGGATGCAGTCTGGATCGCGGAGGAGAAGATCGGTGTAGTCAGCGTTGAAACAACCAACAAAGCAGGCTGTTGAGCTGCCCATTATCTTTGCCATCGGGATACCAGCTATTGGCCGTGAGCGTGCACTCGGATACGATTGGCAGGATGGACATACCATTTTCGAAGCCTTCGTAAGTAACCTCGAGTAACAGCCGTTGCTGAGGGTCCATCGCCTAAGGGCTAAGGTATCAGAAAACCAATCCGGACCCAGTGATTGTTGAGTATACCTACAGCCGCCTCGTCGCTTGTCATGTTGAAGAATGGTGCATCGAACAATGTCACATCTTCTGCCAGGAAATGTCCTCCTTCAACGTTGATCTGTGCGCGTCTTGGTGTCAGCTCTAAGATAGCCACATGCTTGAATAATACGGTGGTACTCACTGTTCCGTGTCTTGAGTGATCGGGATGATAAAAGGCATCGTTATTCCATCGCGACTTGGGAATTGGACTCCACGCCTCCCGTCCTTCGAGAATCATTGTCCACAATTGCTTAACATTGCTGGCACTTCCAGGGCCTCTGAAGCCCACCCCGACAATTGCAATGGGCATGCACAGATCTTCTGATAGGATGGACAAGTCATCTCGGTCTAATGAAGTTGGTTCTGAAGTGTCAGTGGAGGGTGTCGGGATGGCGGGCGGGCTATGTTCAAGGGAATCGGCCGTCATGATGGTTCAGCGACCCATGCATAGTAGCTAGAATGGAGTCACAAACATAGGGGTACATTGGAGCATGGGAAATACAGGAGCAACGGATTTGAAATATACGGTGTACAATAATTCCGTTAAAATCCGGTGCGAGTGTTGCACATCACAATGTCCCGAACTACATCTGCGGAGATCACCGAATCACTCTATTGGACATCGGATGATTCGCATTAGACTTTCCTTCTATTGTTCCGGGGTATATCCCATGCTAGATGGACAGGAGGCAGAAGCAAGTGAGCATAAGCTAAAGTTCAGGAGTCACCAAACTGCCAACGCTTGAACTGCCAACTTCCTGATTGCTGCAGCGATGACAGAAACATTCTTTGTATCTGCCGGGATATCGTGGCCTTTGCTGTGCACCACCCAGGTTGATATGGATGGATTGCACAGCCGATACAGGGCAAGTGAGTACTCAAGCAGTGGATCCTCAGCCCCGCCTATACTCACGGTTGGGATGTTGATGTATCCCTCCAGATCTGGATCAACCACAGGATCTCCGCCTGGATCCATCCGGAATGGCGGAAGGGAGTTGATGAAGATAGCGCAGCGAAACAAAGGTAGCTCCTGCGGGTACAATTTTGCACGGTGGACCAAGAATCCAGCTGCCAAGGTGCCCCCATGGGAGAAGCCCAGGACCCCATCGAAAGGACCTTCTTCATCTACAACGTCCTGAAGACGGTCGTACGCACTCAGTAAAGATTCCCCGTCGGTACCACTGTCGGAAATGGACCGGGGAAACCTATAATAACTGTAGTAAGGACCGTCGTAGAAGCCCGAGATCCCCGGGCCTGGAACCGAATCCACGTCGCCCTCAACGAAATGGAATGTCGCCGTATTATCATGATGAAGATCGGTCATTAGGCCATCTATCTGGTAAGCTGATTGGCCTATTCCAAGGGACCGTACCACATACTTAGCTGGGACTGCAAGATCTATCACATATGAGTGAGTGCCACAAACCTCAGCCATGCAGTGGATTTGGCTCACCTTGGTATTGGTGCCCCAACCATGGAGACAAAGTAGTTTGAGAGGCATAATGGCTGGTGTTGTTACCGCAGACAACTGCTGATTGGTGATGGGTATGGAGCCCGTAGGAAGTGTATTTGTATCTCGGTCTCGAAGACCGCCTTGCTCTCGTGAATGCGATTCTCATGATACAAGTAGGCTCTCCAAAGTCCCCGTGTTACCACGGAGCATTTTCTTTAACATTCCAACTGCGAAACATACCTGTTTGCTTTCTAATACTCACTTATCCCGCTTTAAGTTATCAGCAGCCTTATAATTCCGTTGTATCCTCGCTGACTTAGTGTGGTGAACCAGCCTCTACAGGAGAATTTTTAACAGCAATGTATTGTTTGATCGAGAGCTATCTCTATCGCATAGCTTTCCCTTAATATAGATTGCGCTCATATACGTCTACCACCAGTGACCCAAACCAAAGGCATGGGCCAGTTCCAATAAAAAGAGATGGCAAGTCTAATCTTGCCCGGATCGCACCTTATATAGTTCGGGATGGGATCCACGCACTATCAGTAAACTGATATATTTGTATCTCTTATATGCGAATCCTTTACAAAGACATCTTTAGGACATTGTGTTGAGGTGTACATTTGTGTCGCGGACATCTACTGTACAGGGTAGGAGACCTGTCAACTAGGGAAGGATACTTTGGCAAAAACCAAAGACGAATCGTAGAGACTATTAAGCCAGGACACCGATTCTTGATTCTTGAAATTCTATCCCTATCCAATTTCCCCAATTCATAATCCTATCTAGATACAGTACAGATATGACTCATCGTATTGAAAAGGCAGCGGGTATACCTTCCAACATCGCTATGTGGCCACCGAATTGTCCATGCACCAGAAGCAGGGTACACTATACAGTCATCAGATCAAATCGCTCTTATATAGCCATTGTGTCTTCCGTTCTAAAGACGAGACATATTAGCAGGTTTCATATAAACAATGTTCAAAGAGAACTTACCCGTTGATAACTTCGACCATTTCTCCATTTCTGTAGTATCAGACCAATTTACCTCTTGTGTGGGATATCCTCGAGGGAACTTCTCACTAGAAAGCCCTTGACATCGTTTATCGGGAGAGCATGTATCCGAACGGCAGCAGCCACCATCAACTTCACAGGATCGATTACATCCTTGACTGAATGTAACAATTGAAGGATCCATCCGTGGTTCAACAAGTTTGAGATCATCGCGCTTTTTCACTGGAGATGTAGGAGACTGATCCGGCCCTGGAGTATCCTCCTGTTCCAATAATAAAAAACATTAGAAGAGTTCAAACCAAAAATCAACAGAACTTACTCATTGAGAGTTTTTCCCAGTACTCTACTTCTGTACTATTAGACCAATCTACCGGTTGTCCCAGCGGATATCCTTTAGGGAATTTCTCTTTAAAGAATCCCTCACATCTTTTGTTAGAGCATATATCTGAATAGCAGCACTCGATATCCGTTTCACAAGGTCGACTACATGCTAGGCTGAACTCAGACCCTGGAGCCGCATCCTCCGGAAGAATAAGATTCATGTCGTGGCGATTTCCCAGCGCGCCACCAGGCTCTGTGCGGAAAGAACGAGCCACATCTACAATATAAGTCAGTCAATATGAGCGAGAAAGGATGTCAAGGACAAGTAGCGAAGGATAGAGGCAGGGGAACCGCTGACTTTGGCTGTTACCTGCAACCGCTGAGGCCGCGAGGCTGGCGAAAGCAGACAGAAAAGTTGTAAGATGGATGCAGATAATCGACTAAAGAGCGCGGGTACAGGATTCTAATGGCCAGAAAAAGGGCCATCTCCAGGAATTTTATAGCCCGGGCTGCGGAATGCGTATCGAGGAGCAAGTCCACTTTTCCCCAATTACAGCAATGGTGCCCCATCTGATTCAACCTTCTCTACAGAGTCTATACACCGATCCAGATCCACAGCCCAAGTCTGGGGTTGCTAAAAATATAGATCCCTCAGCCTATAGTGGTCCGAGCAGCGCTGACTCATCCCAATCAACAAAGGCTTCAACAAGAGAGGCATCAAGCGCCCTGGAAAGTTACTCCAGAGATCGTCTTTTCGGTTGAATCTAGAACAAAGATCGAGGTCCCCGGCATTACTTGAGCCAAGCCCTCTGGTTTCATCGTCTTTATCCTAGAAACCTTATGTGTGCCCCGTTGTCCGCTCCGGTGATTGTTCCTGGCATATCTACCCTGTACCACCGTCCGCCCTTCATCTCTATTCATGACGGGAATAAAGAAAAGTGCACGGGCAAGTAATACAGGATGAGCAGCCATGACTCCCACGTGGCCCCATCATGGGGGGAGTTGCTCCCGGTTTTCCTGCTATCATCTCTATAGTCCGTGGAGACTCGCTATTTCCAAATGGAATCTGCGGATAGTCAACCCAAGGGATGGATAAAGCGACATCGAATATTAAAGATACTCAACGATTGCGGTGTTATAGTACCATGACGGGAAGACCAACCGTAAGTACATATGGTTGCCATCTCAACACCCTAAGATCATTTTCCCCGGCCTCCTAGAAGTGTTATTCATAGGTCCAATATCCCACTGCATCGCAGAGTCAACTATCTCACTGTACTCGGTCCACTTCAACAATTGATCTTAGTATAGACAATCCCTCTTTGTCCTCTCTACTCGTGTAAGCGAATAAGATACCGCACCCAGGGCAAGACTGTACACCAGATGAAGTCATATTGCTTCAAAGTAGCCAGCCAGCCCTTGTCTCTAACTGGGGGCTCTACGTCTCATTGCTTACGGGCAAACAAATACAACTCAAATACGCGATTAGATGACTAAGAAACATACATATGAAAAGGGGAACTCAGAAGAAACAAGACAAAGGAAAAGAGACAGAATGATAGGAGAGAAGAAAGCCAGTAAACCCGAAAGAAGCAATAAAATAGAAAAGCCACGAGCCACGAACAGATACTCTAACCATGGAGATACGAACTTACACCAAAACGCAAAGTTGACTACCCCTCCAGCTCGGTTGGTTCCCGGATCGCAGGCAGCTCTGCTGCAGAGTGTACCGGTGTCTCGAGCTCGCTGGGTTCGCGACCATGCACCCAAGAGTGTAATTCAGTTGTGACCTTTTTTTCGCATCAAACCGCTTTTCATATTCCGGTGGCATACATTGACGTCCCGTGTCGTCGTCATAACTATACCTTGGGTGGTATGACCACAGAACGCCATCTTCCATTCGAAAGGTGTCGGGGCAATCAGTATTCCAGGCCCAGGGTGTGGCGAGTGGTAGATATGTTGTGACGGTATCGATCATGGTTTCAGGTTGGTATGAAGTCACCGACATTGGTCAAGAGAGAGAGGGATACCACTGGGAAGATGTTTGAAGAAATAAAAAAGGGGGGAAGGGCAAAGAGAGGCGAAAAGAACTGGTTAGAACAGGATGAAAATTGTAGTTCATGAGAGAATTCAGAGTCTGATGAGAACAGGAGGAGATCTTTATACCCTCTCCAGATCTGAAGGTAGGCAATGTTGTTCCTACTCAAGCGAGACAGGGGCACGTATGGAGAGCATATGGTCGCCGAAAAAATTGCGTTGGATCGCTTAGGCTGGTCTGGATTCTAGTAATCTTCTGGCAATTTCCCATATGCAACAGCGGGTACTTACAGAGAACACCATTTCAGAGAGTCACCATGAGACATACGTCCCGAACGTTCTACTCTTCAAGCAGCTCACAGGCAATGGCATGCGACACCATGACTGCTTCTGTGTCACCGGGCTTGAAGATAGTGGATATGATGACGATCCCATCATGAAGAGCAAAAGCAGAAGGATATACCTTCGTTGGGGTTTGGATAGGTTTTGGGCCACCGGGGAAGTGCATTAAACCCCTAAGCCACGGATCCTATGTTTCCAACCCATCTGTTTATTGTTGGCTGACCTCAAGCATCTGGATGAGCGTCATGTTCTCACCATCTAGGCGAATCGGTTTCACTGTCACCGGGCGGCGCTGACAATTATCCGCGTTTCTAGAATTCTGTATATCTTGGTCGAGCACCATTCAGCTCCTTTTGTGCATCCTTGGGCCTCCGATAGGCCAGGTCTTTTATGCTGCAGCAAGCGAGAGAGAACACCTCGCGACCACCTTCCGCCACCAAATTAGGGCGCGTTTGAAGATGTCTTTCTTCGTTAGCCGATCTGGTAATGTAGTCAGCCAACTTTTGGGGGTTCTAAAATACAGCAAAACCCAGCGAATATAGCTTGTACGATTGGGCATCAACCCCAAGGCACATCTGGAGGCTTACACCGCCAAATATTTGTCTCTCATTTCATTCACCGCGATGATTCAGCAGTTGAAACAATCCCGGCTAAAGTTTTTGTACAGACACAAGATCCTTCATGGCCAGTTGGGATGCCTGTGAGAAGCATACCCAGCGTGAAGTCATTGAACATCGATTCGCTCCGTAAGATACCATACTCATGGTATGGGAATTTTGATCTTGTAGGGCCAGCAACCCTATGGGTTGCGATATGAGTACATACCTAGTACCATCAGGCGACATGCGGTGGGAGTGTTTCTTGCGACTGAATCATGTCCCTAGGTGTTTTTCCCAGCTTTCTTTCTTTCTTTCTTTTTTTTACTAGTGGCGTGAAGTGCACAAGCGATCGACAGCTGAGGAGAATTCCAGGCTTTGGATCGTTCCCTTCCTTCTGTGGCTTCTAGAACGAAGCAAGACATATACGAGGCAGCGAGGGAGATATTTGGAAGACTGATCTATTAAAAAAAGCAATACACCAGACCCATCGCTTAGTCAAGCCAAGGCTCCCTATGTTTTGAATTGGCTCTGGAAAAACCGGATGTTGCTCTTGCCGACAGAGTTAAGCTTCATCAGCATCGGCTATGTGTCCACATGTCTGTGTAGCGACATAGGTAGCGCCTACTCTGTGCATTTTCCAGCGGGGACCAGATTGCGAGGTCACATTTTGGAGAGGGTTACCGTAAAACGATCAGTATCGTAGTCCCCTGTGGTATTCTTATATGTGCATAT